ATTCTGTAGASCATTCTAATTTTATAATTGGGCAACACAGTTGAGATTTGATTTCCCTGGTAATACCACCTTTTATGCAACATACTGTAAGCCACAGGAGGATTACCTGAAAAGTTGGTCARATGGTGTGAACAGGACTACAGATGAATGTTGCCATGAATGCCAATAATTGATCCACATTTTAACGAGATGTTGGTCAAAGTAATTTGTATTAGTCCACAGATGTGAGCTCTGCTGCCCAGCCAGATCCATTTTTGTATTATTCTGTGCTTGATTTAGCCTGATCAGCTCTGTCAAACCCTGTATTATGCATGAYATCCATTTGTTTGGTCCCCTGCCTGGTCCCTCKGTCCRTTTGTGTGCCAAGCAGTGTCTGCTGTGTCCAGCCCTGTCCCTGCTCCGTGCACCAAACCCATGTTCACATKGTGCCTGTCTGCTGAGCAGATGTGCCTGGTGCAGCACAGCCTCTCTGGAGTGCAGCAGATGTGAACATGTCCTCTTTCCTGGGGTCCCAGGTGCCTCTGAGCTGTGGAACATGTGCTTTTTCCTCCAGTCCCAGGTGCCTCTGAGCTGTGAGACAGCAGCTCCTCTGCAGTTACAGGGTGAGGCCAAAGCCCCTTCCCTCCTTTCCCCAAGCCAAGCAAGCCAAATCCTCCAGCAAGGACACAAGTCCCTGTTCCATGGAGCAGCACTCTGGGGTCATGGCAGTTCAGAGAGCTCACTACTGSTTTTACATCTGCTTGAGCGTGGGTTTTGGATGTGTTCCAATGACACTGCTGACTCTCATCCCTGTTCCCCTTTCGTTTCCCAAATTCTTTCACTTCCTTTGCTGGTTRTGCTTATCACAACCACTAAATACTGTGCTATCCTGCAGGGGTGTATCTCAACAGAAATTCACAGCTTTTGGTGACACAGTGTCATGTAAGAGTTTGTAGCATAACATTTCCAATGGCTTTCATCTCCTGTGTTGATTCCTACCTTGGAGTTTCAACCAAGGTGCTTTTATTGGTCCTTAGCCCACCTGTTGCTCTTGCATTAAGCTGCAGTGAAACAGGGCTGCRGGTTTTGTTTTGGTGCAGCCTGAAATTCAGGCTCAGAGTACTTGCTYATTGAATGGTTGGTTACATATTAAGTGAAATACATAAAATTTAATGTTAATTTAGTAGAAAACTGARATTGTCTATGTGTGGAAGAGAGAGAAAATTCTCTTCAGTTGCTGAAGCCCTTGATGTGCTTTTTTCTCAGCAAATAGTGTCATTCAAAGGACAGGTGATCCTCGTAGAACTGGTTCTTGTGTTTATTAGTACCTGTATTAGCAAGAAGTCTATTGCTTTAGGTTTTGATTTTGTTATCCTGTGATTTACACACCAGCAATAYTGATTTCCTTTCCTTTCTGCAGGAGGATACCTAGCAAAACCATATAGTGGAATAATGTAGTGGAACCATATAGTGTATAATGGAATAATGGTGTTAATTCATACTGTTCCTCAGCAACATACTTATTTCTAGGGTGAAGTACAAGAATTAGCAGTGGTTTTGTTTTGTTTTGTTTTTGTCATAATTTGGGAGACCCATTGCCAGTTTACAAAAAGGAGAACAAATATACCACTGAACATTTGAAATATGTTTTKTTTCAAAACTAGGTTGCCATTAATACATTGCAATAGCAAGCAAGTTTGAGCTTCCATACTGTCAAYAAGTTGGGAGCTGCTTTTTAAAATTTTCTTAAGAGGTGAATGGAAAACCCCCACTGGCTGTTGGTCTGAAAACTGTAGCTGATCTATTGTAGTCATTTAACAATTCATCTGTTCCAAGGCTGTTAAAAAGCTTATTTTTTTTCCAAACTCATATGAGGCAGTATGTGTACTTACATTTTTCCTCAAAAGACCAAGAGCTATTCAATCCAAAGAGAGAAATGTACAGAATCTATATAAAGTAAGTGGAGAAAGTGCCCATTTTCTGACAGTAAATGTTTCTGCTCAAGTATTTGCTCTGGATTATAATGAAGCTTTGGTTAAGCAGATTAAACAGACAAAAGCAGTGAAACTTCAAAGGCTGACCAAATGTGCTGAGGTTTTTATTTCCCCAGTCTGTAATGCCTGCTTTTGCCTTCCTCTCATTAGCACAGAAAAATAAGGCAGTAGAGCATAATGTGCTGTCCCTCTGTAGTGCCTGCAGCGACTGATTCCTAACGGCCTTGCAGGGTGAGTATCCAAGGCTTTTTCCAGCATAGCAGTAGATAATAAACCTCCTACGAGAGGGTTTGAGGAGCAACTGCACAGCTGAGGGTTCAGCTGCTCRTAGAACTCATTTTAGATACCAAGATGCAAAAGCTTCCTTCCAAACACAGATTTTAAGTCTGTGGCTTAATCCAATGGCAATTAACTATTTTTACGTGCTCAAAGCAGCAAAAGAAACTCTGTGCTTTGGTAAGCTACGAGGAATAAGGTAAAGCAGTATTCATGGCATGGTGTAACAATCCAAACTGATTTGATATTTCTAGGTTGCATTTCCAATATTCCCTACAGAACAGTTCAGAGTRCAGCATCTGTTATGGATTTTATTTTGAAATGTGTTACCTGCACTGTGGGATTGATTTGGACTTTTGTGTTGCTTAGTCAAGGAGTTATCAAAAACCACAYAGAAGATAGAAGTTTTAATCAGGGGAGAAAAGTGAATATGTTTAGAATATATAAAATAATAAAACTTAATTTAATTAAAATTTTRAATATATAATTTATAAAGTACAGACATTATGTAACCTCTGTAGCCAGCTCCTATTAAGCTCATTTTATAATGTTAAAGTTCATTAACTAATTTGGTATATATGAGTGGAAATAACAACACTGCACATAGTTGTAAAACAGCAGTGAATTTGTACGCTATATGGTTTTGGATTAATTTCGGCAAATTACTGTAATTCCAATTAAATGGACTTTTTYTCAATCTCTGAATATTTTGAACTGCCTGAATACCTGTGAATTAGCAAAATCTCATTCTGAGCAGGTAAATGGCATTTGTTTGGTTTAATCACCCACCTCCACAGAGCCTCGTGGATCTCTCTGTTGTGAATATTTTCTCTGGACTTTTATAGAATGGGATTCTGATGCTATAGAACAAAAGCATTTTCTAAGCTCTGTTTTGAATGATACTATTTCTAAAATTTATCATCTTGTAAAAGTCTTGCCAGAAGGTGTATGGAAAGAACCTTCTAAAAATTTTTGGAAGAAAGGCTCTTTAGTTCCATTTGAAGAAGGAATCTATAGAGTCAAGACTGGAAAGCTGACCAAGTCACACAGACTTTTGATATTAAATTTAACACTTTCTTCCTTTATATATTGCTATGTGACCAAACTCTTTATGCTAAATGCCTGAGGTATTTGTCATTCAGAAAGCAAGAAAAGTTTTAAGCTATGGGAAGTTTTGACTGAGTTCTTAGCTCTTGCTCACTGTTGTGCTGTGAGCTCCCAATACAACTCCTTCTAAAATGAAATGAGATGGTTCTACCTTGGTATATCAGTAGGATGAGAGTGAAGAGCAGAGGTGCATGTTTGCAAACCTGGGCCATTATGGACACCTTTTTAATGAAGTAGAAGCTTGGTTTGGCAACCTACTTACAGTTACTTGCAATGAGGGAACTTCAAATAGTCCCTGATTATTTGAGACATAAAATGAAGAGGCCAGATGGGAACTAACAAATCAACAAAGGAACTTCTGAGAGAGCTCTTGCCTCACATGAGAAAGATGAGCTRTGACAGCCTCTGTTCATCACGCTGTAGCCTGTGCAGCACTCGGGGAGCTTGGTCAGTCTTGAAGCTGCTGCCAGACAGGCTGACAGGCTTCTTTCAGTCAAAAATCWGCAAAGTTTTTAGTTCTTTCTCTAGGAAAAGTCCCTTTCCTTTTTTTGAAGTCAGCCTGAAAGTTTCTTGTGTCATTTTTAACTTCTGTGACTGCAAAAATTTAAACTCACTTCCATGGCAGAAACAAAGCAAAGCATAACATAACATTTAYTGCTACTTGAAAAGACAGTTCCATAATTCAAACTCAGAAGAGGCAGATTTTATCAGCAAGGCAAAGGTATTGGTGTCATCAAATTGTAAATTTTTAAATATTTTTTGTTTCTTTAAAATTTAAAGTCTCCTTTGAATTCACTTTTTTAAATTCCATGCTAAATGTTGATTTATAATTTCAATGTTGAGGATACTTTGCCTTGATGGCTGCGGGGACAGAGAAGGTCTGGGGTCCCTAAGTCAGCTCTTGAGGCTCTCAGTCCCTTCAGTGTCCCCAAACTCCACGGGACCCACGTGAGCAGCAGAGGCTCTCAGTGCATTGGCAGAGCTGGGACTTGGTTCTGCTGCTGACAGAATTGCTGTGGCCCTGGGCTGATTGCTGCTTTGCACGTTGTAGAATTGGCCAACACATTTTGAAGGTCATTTTCTTCCTCCTGTTTCACAGATGGCAGAGGAGTTGATGCTTTTTCTACTATATGATCTTTCAATTTAAAAATGCCTCCTGAGACACATTCAGAGTAAGAGGCCCTACGAAAGACTGACAACTTGATATATAACACAAGATAATTATTTGAGAAGATKGTTAATCATGAAGGGAAAGTTATTGGAAGCACTTTCTGCATGCAAAGAATGATACTAAAGCAGTGTTTGGAGTAACTATTATCTATAATCTATTTATATCACAATTTATGCTGATTTTCTGTACTACTTTGATTCCATTTACTGCTTACGGTAGTAGGAAGAAGCAGCATTTTTGGTAGACCTTGAAATTTCAAGACCAGCATCTTTCTACATAAGGGTTTTTGCACACATCCGTGGTTTCAGTTATATCCAAGTCATCAAAAATTCACATAATGAGTAGATGTATCTGGTGTTKAAAAGTGATGTGAATGAATTTAGCAGCTGAAAATAGAAGGTGAATGTTACTGTATCTGCCACACAGAAATATATCACTACGTTTCTTTTTTTTTTCTTTTTCTCTCTTTCAAGGGACAGAAGGCTTGGATAGAGAAGACCTTTTCTAAAAGAGAATGCATCTATGTAATTGCCAACACCAAAGACGCTACCAGGTAACATTTGAAGTAATTTGAAACTGAAAAATTTGAAATTTTTTTTTGACCAACAGAAAAGCTTAGTACCAGAGAAGCTGAACTTGATTTGGGTTTAGATGTGTGAAACCCAGTTTAGTCACTGCCCTTAAAGAGAGATGACAGGGGAACAAAAGCCCAGGTCATGTTTGTACTCCAATGTGCACATGGGACATGTCACACAGAGGTGAGAAGGCTGGGAGCAGGAAAGGCAGTGAGTTGTTAGCTCCTRGCTTTGCACTTCATTATAAATTATACTGAATTCTGAAAGCAAGGGTTCAATAATGTGGTGCCATCCTTGACAGTTGGTGTGATACTGCCAATAACTATAGTGTACCAGGGGATTTGATTGCTTATTAATATTAATATTACTCCATGGGCTAGCTGCATATTGTGGTCCAGCTTGTGTGGATAACGGAGCAGTTAATGTAATGTCACATGTGAGCTGTCATCTCTTACTCTGTCTGAGTGAAAAACTGGTGATCAGTGCTCCTGTTCTGCATTCTTCCTCCTTGTCTGTCCTTCTACCTAGAACACCTTTCCAGTGCATAACACAAGTGAAATTAATTTTTCTATCTCTACATGTTAAGAAACACTTAAGGGCTAATTCAGGGTTAATTCAGGCATCTGTGTGTATGTGAGAGGGGTTTCCATGATTCACGTACAGCAAGACATGGGCAGTTAAAAATCTAATTTCTGGTTTTGTTTTTTTTTTTTTTTGTATCAAAGAGTCACTTCAAATTTTAACTTACAGGTGCTGCTGTGGCCAGCTCATTAACCAGCATATTCCACCTCCTCCAAGTATAACAGCTAATAAAAATGGAGAAGAAACAAAGCAAGTGGAAGCTCAGCCAGAGAAATGGTCTGTCACTAAACACACCCAARCATACCCAACTGATGCCTATGGAAACCTGGAATTCCAGGGAGGAGGACATTCAAATAAGGCCATGGTAAGGGTCACAGGCTGCTCTAAGGTATTTGTTTGTCTGGTGTGTTAGCTCAAATGCCTCTTGAGTTTTCTTAGCAGTAGAAGTAACAGCAATTCAAACTTCTGCAAAAATTCTGGTTTTCCTCTCCTCTGAAGAAATTCAAACTTAGATTTGTTTCTTTGACAATTGTAAAATTCTCTCTTCTGGATGAAAGGCAAACAGTAACCATTCTCTGCTCAGACAATTTACAGAGTGTGGTAACACTGCACATTGCTCTTTGCAGTACATCCGTGTATCATATGACACCAAACCAGATTCTCTGCTGCATCTCATGGTGAAAGACTGGCAACTGGAACTGCCCAAACTCTTAATCTCTGTCCATGGAGGCCTCCAGAACTTTGAAATGCAACCTAAATTAAAGCAAGTGTTTGGAAAAGGTCTGATAAAGGCTGCCATGACCACAGGAGCTTGGATTTTCACTGGTGGTGTTAGTACAGGTAAGCAATTGCCTTAGTAAGCAATCACTTTTAGTTTATTTAAGAATTCAGTGATGTTCATTCACTAATCTTTCCCATAGGCAGAAGAGTTAAGTCTACATGAACGAGTCATTASCCACTAGACCAAAAAGGGGGCATTGTAATGATTTGTGTTAATCTCCCACCCAGCCCAGACCGTAAGATTTTCCTGGRTCAGTATTGATTTGCATCACTCAGTGTTTCCCCTGAGAAAAAATTTCAGCTTTGATTTCAGTAGCAAGGATTTTACCACCAGTTGTAATACAGTTTTTTTAGTGCTTGGTTATCCTTGTAGTTAAGAAGTTTCCTACTCCAAATTTGCTAAGCTTTACCTTCTGGTGGGTTTTTTTGCACAAAGATCTTTCTGTTACTGAAAGTATATTTCCTGGTGTCGTGGTTTGTATCCAATGAATAACATAGTGGAGACAGACACAGATTATACTGTGGCAAGTTAGTGATTGGGTGAGCCTTTCACAGACTTCATTCCATTCAGYACAATAATGTGAAAAGGTAAGGGGACTTAGACACAGCTATTGGAAAAGAAAACTATGGTTGTCTTCATTGCATGTTCTACTAYAAAGCAGAGATACCAGTTTAGTAGTGAAAGCAACCCAGTAGTTCAGTGAGAGGCAAGAAGAAAACTCTGTTGTTTAGTGATCCAAGTGCCAAAAATGAATTCAATTATTTGTACCCATAGGTGTCATTCGTCACGTGGGAGATGCCTTGAAAGATCATTCTTCCAAATCCAGAGGACGAATATGTGCCATAGGAATTGCACCGTGGGGCATTGTAGAAAACAAGGAGGATCTAATAGGAAAAGATGTAAGTGTTGAAGGAAACAGCTGTGTAACAAAATACATTGTTAATATTTCTGAAGTATTACTTTTTTTCCATTATTAAAATATGCCTAGGAGGTGAAATTGAACAATTTCTTGAAAAAAAAACGGCTTTTTAAGTATATTTGTCAGGTTGYCATATATGACCTCAAAGCAAATACAGAACTAGTGAGGTTTCCATTGCCTTCATTAGATAAGACCTCTCTGTGGTGACATTTTTATGTCCTAACTTCRGTGTGGCACATTGAGACTTCTATAAATGACAGAAAGGACTTTATGTGTGCAAGGCTAGCATTTATTATAGAAAGCTACTCTGGAGTGGCGTTTGAAWTACTAGGAGCTCCAAATGAGAATGTATTTTCTACTGCACTAAGAGGATTATGTAACAACACACTGTGTGAACAAGGAGAGCACGTTAATGAGCTTAGGGGAACATGCAGGGGAGTGCACAATGTGACTGTCATCCTCCAAAGTAAACAGTGCTGTCAGGAGTTCAGATCTTCAATGGAAAAGTGAGCTCCACTTCTAATTCTCCTCTGGGTTTGGTTCTAAAGGTTTGCTCGGTTTGTTTCCTCAGCAGACTCTGAGAGTTGGGTGGTGTGGGGCATTTTCCCATTTGCTCCTTGGCTCTAATCTCGGTGCATCTCTCCTCTTGGCACACAGGTAACACGAGTTTACCAAACAATGTCAAACCCTCTCAGTAAGCTCTCTGTGCTCAACAGTTCCCACACTCACTTCATTCTGGCAGACAACGGCACTTTAGGTAAATATGGAGCTGAAGTAAAGTTACGGCGTCAGTTGGAAAAACACATTTCCCTCCAGAAAATTAACACCCGTAAGTATGAGTGGGGCAAACTGTACACATAACATCTTAAAGGAAGGGAGGGAGGGAAGGAGGGCTTGAAATACATAAAAGTATGGAAATTAAAGATTTCTTTCAGCTGTTTCCAGTAGAAATGTGATCAGGACTGTGCGACTGAACTACAACGTGTGCTGTTCGATAAGTGGTGAAAGAGCCCACATCAAAATGGGCAGAAAAACCATGGAGTGAGGATTGCATAAMGGGATAAAGAAAAATTGACAAATAATAGTGAGGAGAAGCTTCAAAGCAGTGAGAMTCTAAGGAAAGGGAAATACAAAGAATTTGTGCAGTTCTAGGCTAGAATTCATAAGCATCAGTAAACACAGAGAATGAGGTGATTTTTTACGGTTCCTGTTTACAGGAATCCTGTGCAGCTCAGTGATTTCTGATTCCAAATGTTCACATGAGCATTTTATTTTCTCTTTTATATATGGAWTTGTTTCATTTGAAGTATCACACTCATAATTCTTTGATCTCCCTGATAAACTTASCAGGCATTTTGATTTATAATGACAATCAAGACAATTTCACCTTAATGATTCCATTTTGTGCAGTTTTAAAATTCCTTCCAGTTATTAAGGCCTCACCAAAATAGTTTTCTAGCTCTGTTCTTGTAGTTATTTAGAAAAAAAAATCTTTTAAAAGACATATTTTCATTAACATGCAAAAAAAAAAATGTTTTTAAAATGTAAAATTAAAAAAAAAATTTAAATAATCCCGCAACCCTTATGAGAAATGGTCCCAAAAAATTGTTATAGCCTTTGAATTCACACTTCWGTTAAGAGCTACTAGAGAATTGGCATCAATTGTAGCAGTTGCCTTTTCCTCTTACAGGTGCACCTGTAAACTGTGTAGGCATGTAAAAATAAGAGAAAACAAACATCCAGAATGGCAATTGCAGTGATCTCCACAGAATTTTCTAACAGGGTCTAGGTGTCTAACGGGTAGAGCAGGAAAACCAAGCAGAGTGCCAGGTAGAGCCACAAGGTGCAATTAGAGATGGGCCATGGGGTAGCCAAATGTTCTGGGAGGTCTCTGGGTGCTGCCCTCAGAAACAGCTCAGGAAAATGCTGCCCCTGCCTTGGAGTGTGAGTGCAGTGCCAGGGGCTGCATGGACACAGCTCACCTTGGGCTGCTTTTGGCATCTCATCTTCTGCACAAGTGCTGGCAGAGCTGTAAGGTTGTAAAAGGGAGCTCTGGCTTGGAAGATAAGGAATTCAGGGCACAGAGACGAGATGTTCTGTGTCATTCCTTTTTATACCTCTGGGACTTGGGGATATTGGCTCTGATTTAGGTAGTGTTTGATGATTTTTGTCATGAGAAGGGCAAAGCTGGGAATGCACATAAAGACCTGTTCTGTGAAGGGCTGCAGTGCAACATACTGCTAGTAACAACATACAGGGAGTTGTTTTGTTTCTTTTTAATCACTCCAAGCACAGGCACCTCTGCTGGAAATCTCAGGAGGAATCACTAAAGATTTCATGGACACACAGGCCGGCCCATGCTCTGTGACTCCTCCTTGTCAGAGCGGGGCTGTACTGACAGGAGGATGTCAGAAAGCTTCTGCAGTTACTGTGCATGGTGTTCCTGTTCTTCAGAGTCAAGGTTGAAAATATGAACTCTTTCACGCGTTCTCAGCCAAACAAAAAAATGCATCTTTATAAAGCGCTGGTCATTTCACAGATTAAGAACTGAATTCAAATGCTTATGATAGTGGAATTAGTCAGCATTCAGGTAATGTTTTGTCCTTCATTTCCCCAAGTTTCTTGTGACCAAGGCTACTGAGACCATGTGACCTGTGGGCTTCCCTTTGTCATCCTATGCCTGGAGATCACAGTGAGGCAGGGACAGCAAAGGGATGCTCAGCTGTCGTCTCTTCCATCGGCCAACCATTTCAGCCTCATGATAAAAACACTGATTGCATTTCTTTGTCTTAGGAATAAGCATAAGTGTGTCACCTTACTGAAGACTTCCCATAGGTAACCAATGAAGAGTTAAAGCATCAGAGGCAGTAGCTGGGAGCCATCTGAGCTTCAGCAGCAAAGCTGATGGAGCAATAGACAGTCATGTTAGCTGCTTTATCTGTACTGGTGTCTGTCAAGAGAGATTGCAAACATGCACCAGCACTGAGTGGATAACTTATCAGTATGGAGCTGATGCAAAACCAATGCAGAGAGACATCTTACTCTTTTCCTAYTGGGGCTGTGAAACAGAATCTGGATATTTTTCTCACGTTGGCCATGAAATGGCCATCATTTTTCCTGAGAGCTCTGGTTTGAGGTGATGCTCTAACACAGAAATCACATCCACTTACCTCAGTCTTGTAAACTACATTTCAATGACACTACTTTTTTTCTTGTTTCTGTTCTTGTGTTTTCTGCAGGACTGGGGCAAGGTGTTCCTGTGGTTGGGCTCATAGTGGAAGGAGGTCCCAATGTGATCTCCATTGTCCTGGAGTGTCTGCGGGAAGATCCCCCTCTCCCAGTTGTGATCTGTGATGGCAGTGGGCGAGCATCCGACATTCTGTCATTTGCACACAAGTATTCAGAAGAAGGAGGGTAAGATTTCAACATCTTCACCAGTGCTGGGTAGGACTATATGCTTTGCTTTCATAGAGCTGCATTAAAAGAGCACCTCAGGGATAAAATGCTGCTAACAGAGGCATTCTGCTGTCAGTCAGCTTTTGTTGCCCATTTGATCTTAGTCCTGGAGTTAATGAGAAGAAATTGTTACCACTCTGAATGCATGTGCTGGCCCATGGAAATGAGCTTGCTCTCAGTACACACACTGTCATACCAGCTCCAGCAGGCTTTCCTGCATTGTACTTGCTGCTGGCTTGGGCACAGTAGAAGCAAGGACCAGTTCCCAGGAGTAACTTTTCTTTAGGCCAAGGCTGAGGTTAATTAGTGCATGGATTTGCAGAGTTTGTACTGCCTGATTCTGCTGTGTCATGTGAATGAACTTCATTGTCCAAAAGTTCCAGRCCAGCTGTGGAAGTGTTGGACTTGCTTCATTCTCTTGCCTCACAGGCAAAAGCCTAAGATATTGCCTTAATTAGGGTATGGCAGATCTGTCTTGTGCTGAAGATAGAGCCTACTTCCCTGACTGAAGCTGGAGTTTAGCTTGGATTAWATATTAAGCAGACAAATAATATTGTAAGCAATGTGCATGTTATTTGCTGGATTACAAAGGAGGAGTAGCTCTTATGCTGCTCTT